AAATATGCCTCTTTAAACGCCCTCTGATTGACGAAATACACCTCTTTAAACGCCCTCTGATTGACGAAGTTTGATTAAAGTATAAAATCACTGCCCTGGGCGTAGCCAGGCCAGTTCAGATGTTGGTGTGTGAACACGCTGAACTCGATGCATCCAATAAACCTGTTTCTCTTCCTTCGTGGTCTCAAGTCCTGATCTTTCGTAAGTAGATTACAAACCACAATCTGCTGCAACACCTGCCTGAGGTATCTATCCTTCAAAGTATTATTCTTCGTAGCCATTACATCGGGAAGGAGAGTTTCTGAGTTGGCAGCCTTGTCTGTGCAACAGGACTTGCGCGTATTTTACCAAGACAGGGTATTTTTGAGGCTGGACCCCTCTTTTGTGCCCAAAGTCAACTCTCATTTCACAGGGCACAGGAGCTGGTGCTCCCAAACTTTTGTCCGTCTCCTACCCACAGACTAGGAAGACAGTGGCATAAGCTCGACGTGAGGCGGGCTCTTCGAATTTACATCCACCGGACTTCTTCAATTCGATGCACTGAGGCACTATTTGTATCTTATCAACTGACATCCTTGGGACTTAAAACATTGTCCGCTAATTTGGATCGGTGGGTCAGAGCCTGCATTACCAAGTCGTACAAGTTGTAACTGCAGCCAGTTCCTGATCGTATCTTGGCACACTCAACGAGGAGTGCAGCGTCTTCAGCTTCCTGGGCCACTCAAGCCTTACTTGAGGAAGTTTGTCGTGTGGTAACTGGACATCCCCGTCGCCATTCATCCGGCACTACAAAATCGACATTTACACGTTGGTGGATGCAGCCTTTGGCAGACGGGTTCTGCAACGTGTGCGAGAGGCTAAAGAACGTTCAGTCCGGTCGCAGGCCCACCCGTAGGGACACTACTAGCTTTGGTATGTCCCATTCATGCATGCTGTCTCCACCAACAATGGAGATTGGACGTTGGCTTACTTGATACGCTTAATCTCTGGGAAGGTGGAGACAGCAGTCATCCCCACCCTATTGAATTGGTCCAGTCCGAAGTTGGAGTTGTTTCCTTGATGTTACCATAGCACGTCTGTCTGCAGATTGCATTCATCATAAAAAGCTAGTGAGGCCAGTGAAGAAGGCGGGATATGCAAATCTTCATACTCAATCCCATTGGATGATAACGAAGTTAACCCATTCATGGTCTGCCCAGCTGGTCCTATATTGGGCACCTGCTGACCACACATGACTTCCTGAACTACCGTTTGTTCTGCACAGTCATAGCTTTGAGTGGTCCCTGAATAAATGGTCATTAAGTGAGATTACCTGCATTGCAAATCTATGCCAATGTTTAGATCTTGGAAATCTAGAATGGGCTAATGCAGTTTTATTTTTTAAATGTATATTAAAACAGGAATCTGATTCATAAGTATTGCATCACATTCTATCAACCAGACCACACTTTTATATGTAGAAAGCAATGATGGTACCTGCTGTTTTAAAGCGTAAAAATTGCTTTGAGGAAATACAATGAAAGCATTGAAGCTTTGGTTCACAGTTCTTTTGCTTCAGTTTGGCAGAATATAGCAGTGCGGCTGTGATTATAGAAGTGCAGTAATTTGAAGAGTTGGCCATAAACCAAGATGCTCGAAATTAAAAACCAGTGTTTTTGAACAGGAGCCCAGTAAATAATATTTTGAAACGATCTCTGCTTTGTGTATCAGTTTAAAATACCTGTTTTTCAGCTGAAGATATTGTTTTTTATTGCCCACGAATCTGAATATTCTGATTATGCAGCTCACAGACCATTTTAATGTAAAATATAGGGATACTTTAAAAAATTTTAATTTGAAATCAGACACTGCGTATGTAATAATAGGGATAAATGCATAGGGGGAAAATTTCGAGAACTCAGTACTCATTTTCCAGAAGTCCTCTGGGTCTACATATCCTACATAACCATCCACTATATAAGGATAGATGCATATTCCACCATAGTGGATGGTTGGAGAGTCCTTAATTCTGTCGCTTATCTTCAAAAACTTCCTGCTATAGGGAGTGGTAGTTCTCAGTGTATCACAGGGTTAGGGTTAGGGAATTCTCAGTGTATTACTTGCCTTCGAGGGAACATCTCACCTGGCCATCTCCCTGCTAATACAGGTGTGACAGAGATATGGGGTTTTGGTATGCTAAGTTTTTTTTCCTGACACATTAAAAGAAAAAAAAAGAAAATTTTTTTTATAGTGCCACTTCATTATTGATTTTATTTAAAAAAGGAAAGGAGAAGATAGAACCTCTTTTTAGATAATAGCAATAGCAATAGCAGTTAGACTTATATACCGCTTCATAGGGCTTTCAGCCCTCTCTAAGCAGTTTACAGAGTCAGCATATTGCCCCCAACAACAATCCGGGTCCTCATTTTACCCACCTCGGAAGGATGGAAGGCTGAGTCAACCCTGAGCCGGTGAGATTTGAACAGCCGAACTGCAGAACTGCAGTCAGCTGAAGTAGCCTGAAGTGCTGCAAATATTTAACCACTGCGCCACCTCGGCTCTCACATGCATTTTACGATTCAGTAGCAAAAGGGAAATAAAATATAGAATTGTTCAAATCACAGATTGCATCCCCAAAAGTTGTCCTTAATGTCTGTGTGTGTGCGTGTGCGTGTGTGTATGTGTATATTTGCAAACTGCAGGCGTTTGTTCTTTTTTAGAAGCAATTTGGCCATAAAGTTTCAAGTTGCAAAAACAAGGAGTTGTTGACAAAACATAGAGCCAATAAATATCAGAGACAAAATGTTAGAATTAAACTCATACGCTGTCAAAAACAATTAGCTTTATTCAATATTTTGCAGTAAACGTATTACTATTCTTTAGGATAAATTGATGCATGAAGCTAGAGTCTGCATGCTTCCCCCCCCCCCATCATCTTGTAAATTGTAGCTTTTTATGAGTGACTCAGGAATGCTATACTGTACCTATGAACCAAGAAAATTTAGAATTTGCTGTGTTATAGAATAAGAAAGAACATTCTTTTCTTGTAGTTCAAGTATTTCACCAACCTTTTGCCCTTTGTATATGTGAACTCTAATTCCCTGAATTCTTCGCAATTGTCATACTGGATTATAGGAATTAAAGTCCATACACCTGAGTTGTGTCTGCATTGCAGAAGAGGTTATTACATTTTGCACCTATTTCTGCTCTTAATTTTGTGTGGGGCTGATCTCCAAGCTTTTTGCACGGTAACATTTTTTTTTATTTCTGTCTCATTCTGTACAGGTTGTTCCAGTTGAAGTTTACTTTCCACTGCTTATTTGTTTAAAAAGTTATGAGTTGTAAAGCCAGAAGAAATTTATCAGAATGCAGTATCATACAACATCTTGCTTTAATTTGATTTTCCTGCTTTCCTGCACTGTGGTAGGACTCCATCAAGAAAAGTATCCAAAGAGAAGCTTCTAATCTATGAAGGGCCATGGGCTTTGGGTCTGCCAGCTTTCACCTCTCTTACAAACTCAAGCTATTGATGCTCATTACCCTCTGCGTCTTATTGATAGGCTGGGCTACCTCCACTTACCTGGTGGATATTTTACACGAAACTCCAGCAGCAAAAGGCATGATTGAAAGTTTCATGAAGCCAACCACTATTAAGGAGGAACAGATGGAGAATTCAAAGAGGAAGGCCATGCTAATCGAGAAACTACCCACAGCAATACCCGCCTGTCCTTTTCTGTCTCCTTATCTCCGTAAGTCAACTCACATTGTTTTTGGAAAAAAAGTGGGGGGAGTTAAGGCCTTGAGCTAACAAACCCCGCCCTCCAAAGTTTAGTCTTTATGATGAAAATGTTAAACCCCAATGTGAAAAGGTTAGTCATCGTCTGTCTCCTGGTAGTATATTACTGTGTCTGATAGAAAGTGTCTTAAGCAGAGGTAGGCACTTAATTTTCTGAAGGGGTCACATGAAAAATTGGGAGTGTTGTGGAGTGCCACCACTAACACACACGCCAGCCTCACTGTCACCTTCCCATCCAACACTGCCATCCCTGCTGCCACACTGATGTCCCCCCCCCCCCCAAAATCTGCTGATGCCAGGTCTTCAACCACTGGTTAGACCAGGTCTGCTTCCTGGATTGTAAAACACCCAGGTCTGTTTTTAAGGATTATTTAAATACTTGGGTCATATAGCAAAGCTGCCATTGTTAGATCTTAAATTCTAGAAATTAGTGTAACACAAGGCAATGTTAAGACTTTAATATTTGTGTTATTTCCAGTAAAATGTCAGGAAATTCCAACATTTCTTCCATGATCTAAATATTTTTTAATTATTTATTTAAATTTATTAGCTCCCAAATGGGCATCCCTCATAATATTATCAAATAATTGGATCCACTGATGGAGATTCACCCATCAAAAAGCAACTATTATAATTTAGCAATGTATGGATATAGCTTTAATGAAAAATTGTAAACTTCACTTATTCTGTTGCTTTTTCAATTTTTTTATTTTGCATTTGAATTATAAAATGCTAGCGTGGAATTACATTTATGCCCCAATTGAAGTATAACAGTAGGAATTAAGTAGCAAAAGCCCCAAGAACATAGGGGTGGGTCATCTTATTGTATTTATTTATTTATTTATTCATCTATCAATCAATCAATCAATCAATCAATCAATCAATCAATCAATTAATCAATGCTTGTAGCGTTCCTCAATCCTGAAAGATTCAGGGCAATGAACCACGACACATATTGACATAAATACAGCAACAATAAAAAACAGTACAGTTCAATCATAAAAAAGCATCTGAATGACACCCATAGATTGGCAAATCCAGATTTAAACAGCTAGTGAAATGTAAGAAGGAACAGGGCCAAATGTACCCCTGCAGGAATCTTTTATCAAAGTATGTGGCAGTACCACAGAGAAAAGCCATTAGCCTGTTAGCCTGCACATTTCACGTGTGTTGTTCATCCTTCCAGTAGTCTGGCTGCTATATTTTTTTGCTGCTTGATTCACATAAACTGTGTTACAGCAGCCGAGCAAAATGACAACCATATGCATTACTGTTGCCAGAACATTGTTGGGCAGTTGGAGTTTTAATTGACACACACTCTGTATCTGAGCAAAAGCCTACCTGGTCCATCTTCTGCTTGATTGGGGAGCCTGTGGTTAGTTTCCATTGATAGCTCACCTTTATTCAAAGACCCTAAAACCTGTGCATAAATCTTTCCTAATTTATCCTCTCAAAAACAACCCTGTGAGTTCACTGAATGGAAATGTCTCAAAGTCAGTGTGCTTTAGGAGCTGATCAACAGTGTGACAAACAACCTTTCCTTCACAGGAGGGGTTTAAACAAAGGTTGGATAGCCATTTGTCAGATAGTAATATTGGGCAAAGTATCAGGCTAGAACAGGAGTGACAAACTCGATTTCATCGAGGGACACATCAGTGTTGTGTTTTGACTTTGGGGGGCTTGGCCAGCTTGACGTCACTCGTGTCAGGGATGCCTGTGATGGCTCGAGTGCTCTGCCAACGGACTCCTGAGCTCCACTTCCAGCTGCGATGGCCTCCTGCAACCCTCTACCAGCAAAACTGGAGCTTGGGAGGACTGTGCATGGCCCTTGCGAGCTCTGTTTCCAACTGCAACATCCTCCTGCAACCCTCCTGTGGCCCTCCCAAGCTCCATTTTCACTGGCAGAGACACCGCGGGCCGATCCTTTGCTGTTTCTGGGTCAGCCCCATGGGTCAGATCTAAGCACCCCTTAGGTCGAATCTGGTCCCCGGGCCTTGAGTTTGACTCCTCTGGACTAGAAGATCGCCAGCCCTTTCCCACCCCTTACAGTCTGTAGTTCTAGCATTCCCAGTCACTTGAGGGCCTCTGAAGTCTTACTGTAGTGAGAGTTGTGAACCTCAGGTTTGCCTTTTCCTATAGGAGGCCCCAGCAAGCTCATTTTCAGAGCATCTCTCACTCTGGAAGAACTGCAAAAAGAGAATCCTTCGGTAGCCAAAGGGCGCCATAGGCCAAAAGATTGCACAGCTCAGCAACGAGTGGCTATATTAATTCCACACCGCAATCGAGAGAAGCATCTGCTGTACCTGTTGGAGAATCTTCATCCATTCTTGCAGAGACAGCAGCTGGATTATGGCCTTTATGTCATCCACCAGGTGAGTCTATATAGAGTGAGAAAAAGAAAAAGCCTCCCTCAAATCAAGTAACTTCTGGTGACTTCATGGACATGTCCAGGCAGTTTGTTTTGCAACAATATAGAAACGGTTTGCATTCTTTTGGGAAGGATTTTTAAAATGTAATTTGATTTTTTATTGTTTGGCTTTCCAGACTAACCTGAGGTTATTTTCTAGTGGTCTCCCATTGAATATTAACTAGGTCTGACCCTGTTTGTTCAACCAAGAACAGAATGCTACTAACGCCCAGAGATATTTTAGTGCCCTTTGCTTATTGTTTTTAACTGTGTAATTTTTTCAGTTAAATATTCAGGGAAGTCAAATATTATTTCTGCAGCTCCATTTACAAAACTAACCTCCAGGGTGTTACCAGTCCTGAGATGTCTTTGTATGTGTCCATATTAAGTTTATTTTGTCTTTTGCTGCAAGAGCTTAAAGCAGATTGAATACATTAAACAGAGTAGGTGGCAAATTAAGTTTATGCACCATTGGTAGAGATTATTGTTTTCTAAGTTGCAAGTCTTAAATGTGTATTGTCTTTATTGCCTGTTTGCATCCTGCTCATGGTTTGCTGCGTGACGACTTTTGCTATAGCTATCACTTCTTGCACTCACTTTTTTTTAAGATTGAGATTTTTTTCTTCTTGAATAAAAGTTCTCAGTCTTTAATTCTATCAAAGCAAAAGCATTACAGCCCAAGAAGCAATAAAACTGTACATTTATTCAGTAATGTATTTATGGCCAATATTTTGCTGTTGGAGGACTCTTATCTCTTATTAATGCTGCAAATGCTGCAACAATGGTGCCCACACATGTCTGCCCGACATGTGGCAGAACATTTCATGCCTGTATAGGCCTTACCAGCCACCTGTGGACACATCATGTACAGCTCACAAGTTAGATGTCAAGGTCCTCTTTGAACACAAGGGGCAAACATCATTTATGGCCAATGTTTTGCTGTTGGAGGACTCTTATCTCTTATTTAAAAAGAGCTGTTAGCTCAGTTTCAAAAATACTAAAGTAAAATCCAGAGTTAGAACATCTGATTTCTTACCACCATATGTGGCTTGCTAAAAACATAACCTTCCTTACCATAAAGCAAGAGACAAATACATTGGGTATCATGGCTTACCCCTAAACCTACAAAAACAACTTTTCACATTGGATGGCATAAAACTATAACACAGAAAGAAAGCATACACTAAGTTTTGTTTGTTCAATCATTTTTATTGGAAGAGGAGCCAAATAGAAATGATGAAACAATGCACCAGTGCATTTGATAGTTCTTGGAATACCAGAATTAGCACCTACTTGGGTTATAAATTGATACCAAACAGACTCCGGCAATCAAACATTGATGCTCTGGGTTTATTCTCTATGAAGCCATTTAGCTGGAAAATTTGAAGCAAAGGACATGGGTTGCCTTAAGACAGTGGTAGTCAACCTGGTTGTGGGCGTTCCAGCTTTCATGGTGGGCGGTAGGGATTTGCTGTAACTCTGCTTTATAAATTTTGAGTTTCAGTTTCATTTTATTTTATTTCATTTTATTTATATGCCGCCCTATTCCCTGCGGGACTCAGGGCGGCGCACAAACCCGAAGGAGGGGGAGGGAAAAGTTACTTCTGTACTTTATAAATCACCATTACTGTGGAACCGGTGGACGGTTAGAAAATTTTACTATTAACAGAGATACAAAAGTGGGCGGTAGGTATAAAAAGGTTGACTACCCCTGCCTTAAGAAGTGCTATGAAGCATGATGCCCACTAAGTCATTTTGGAGAAGAGAACATTTCTTGTTTTGTATCTGCCAGGATCTTACCTCATAGAAATATACATCAATTGTTATAACTTTAATGAATGATAAATGAAGAAGACCCTGGAATTAAGTAGAAAGATACCTGCTTAATATGAATAAGAAGCAGGAACAGTCCCAAGTAAGGTTAGGAATAGCTTTTGCTTGCTAGGTGCTTTTTGTAAGGCAACCTGAAGCTTTCCAGCTAGCACTACCATCTTTCATGGACAGGATGGTAGAATTGTTGCCAAAACAACTCTCTGGGGAAAACTGGCCTAAGGGAGCAATTATGTTCAGAATTGTGTCTGAAACTTTCCTTTGGGGGCTGCTCTCCTATTCCCATCTCTGCTTTTGTGGCTAGGGAACAGGGTTTCTTTTTAAAAAAAAGCAAAAGCAGCTGACAACATGGCATTAATATGCCATACTTTGATTTTATAAAATCCATTACCTATGAAAAAAGTTTGAGGATGCTTTTCATCTTTCTTCATTTCCTGTTGAGTTGCTGATGGCTCTGCAGCAGGACTCTGAATTCTCTTCTGAGTTTCTGCATTCATAAGAATGTTTGGGTGCTTGCCAGAGCTGTAGGCATTTAAGTTGAGAATAGAGTTTACCTTAAAAATATAAGGTAAAATTCCATTTGAAAATAATACTTATAGAAAACTAAGAGTAGTGTGACAATATAGTATCAGTTCATGTGTTTTTAAACGTTCACCTACAATTAAATTGTAAGATAAAGGAAAACTAATAGTCTATTTTGAAAACTTAAATTAGAACATTGAAGCTGCAGTTCTAAACATTAATGAGTAGTTTCCACTTGAGCATGGTGGAATTAATTTCTGGACAAGTATGACCATTCAGGAAAGAGGTTTAAAGTTTATTCTTAAACATTAATTTGGAATTGAAATTATAATATTGGTCATAAATGCTTATTTTACAAATATTAAATAATTATGCAATACTACAATTTCTATGCTTGATGATCCTGGAATGACAATATAGAGTTTAGGTAAAGTATATTTATACTGTTAGGTAATCTTGTAATAAGGGATGCAGTAGCTGAGCTTGTCGATCAGAAAGGTCAGCAGTTCGGTGGTTCGAATCCGTAGCGCTGCATAACGGAGTAAGCTCCCGTTACCGTAGTTTTCAGAGTATAAGATGCACTGGTGTATAAGTCGCACCAAGGTTTTGAAGAGGCTTTAAAAAAAAAAAAAGGTTTGCACTCTGCAAACCTCCCCAAAACAGCCCATTTTTTGCAAAAACGGGCCTGTTTCCCCCCCCAAAAAAGGGCATGAATAGCCCTTAGGAGGCTTGTAGAATGCTCATGGGAGAGGGGGGGGGGCAAAAACGAGCAAAATACAGTCAGTTTTTTGCCAAAAAAAGGTCATGGATAGCTTTAGGAAACTTACAGAGTGCTCCTTGGGGCTGGGGGGGGGCAAAATTGAGCTAAAAAACGGTCCGTTCTTTGCTCATTTCTGCCCTCTCCAGCCCCCAGGAGCTCTTTGAAAGCCTCCTACAAGCTATGTACAGCCATTTTGGTGAAGGGGGTGGGGTTTTAGGAGGCAAAAAATGCTTTATTCAGTGTATGATGCACCCAGATTTTCAGCCTCTTTTTTGAGGGAAAAAGGTGCGTCTTATACTCCAAAAATGCGGTACTTGTCCCACCTTCTGCCAACCTAGCATTTTGAAAGCATGTAAAAATGCAAGTAATAAAATAGGAACCAACTTTGGTGGGAAGGTAACAGTGTTCCGTGCGCCTTCGGCATATAGTCATTGGACAGCGTCTTTGGACAGCGTTGGCTCTTTGGCTTTGAAACGGAAATGAGCACCGCCCCCTAGAATCAGGAACGACTAGCACATATGTGTGAGGGGAACCTTTACCTTAATCTTGGAATTGCTAGTATCATGTAATGATCTGGAGACTTAAATTGAAACATTCAATATGATACAAGATCAGTTGATAATCGTGGCAAAATATTTAATTGACAAATTAACTGGTCCGCCAGTGTGAGTGTAGTTCAATCTTCCCACTGTGGGGGCTCTCCATATGTGCTACCTTATGGCTACTGGCCTTGATGGGAATTCTGGGAGAATTGGACACATCTGTGGGTATTGGATTAGACAAACTGTTAAAGTTTATGTATGCATTTGATTCAAGGCTTTTATAATCTCCCTGAATTAAAAGGCTGGAAATGTGCATAATAATCTCTTTATTTACTGATTTTATATATTGTGTTTTCTTCCAAGTATACAAATTGTTTCATAATCTGAAATAATAGATTGCAAGCCAAGAGACATGGCACAAAAGAAAAAAGAAGGAGGGAAGAGGAAAAGAAAATAGACAGATTCAATTCTCTCGTCATATCAAGAGAGACAGGCATAAAATGGCTGGTCTCAAATTTTATTGATTGATTAATATCAGTTGATTAATACTGGGAACTTGAATCCCAGGTTCCCAGATTATGGGAGGGCTGCCAACTCCAGCAGAGAGTCATTAAAAAAAATGGAAGCAGAGAAATATATGGTTATATTGAGAAATAGCTGGCACAGGAGAACTTCTCAGGCTGAGAACTTTCTGTATTTAAGAAATGCCTTGGACGCTTTATTTTTTAATTTTTGTATCTTATATCTAGCACACACCTGTATAGGCTTCTTAGAACATTAACCTTATTTGACCTGGGCCTGCTTGCCCCCTGGATTTTGGCTGTGGGTAAACATTCTGACCGCTTTGAATTGGGATTGTATCAATCACTACAACCTTATCCAACAGGTTTATAATTTGAATTGGTTGTTCATTCAATTTATATGGTCACCGTCTCTTCATGATGATTCTCAGCAGCTAACTGCAGTTGAAAACCAAGAAAATAAACACAATAATAAATACATAACCGGTCGCCAATATAAAACCACAAGACCCCCATTTACATAGCCATCCCATGGACTATGCTACATGTTCCAACCCTCATATCTGGTAATGTCTTCAAGGCCTTACAAAAGACCGATAGGGTCAGGATCAATCTGACTAAATCATTGCAACCTCAGATGGGAGGAGATGTTCTGGCAGACTTGAGAGGAAGAGTCAAATAGAAATAGCCCAAGTGCCCTGGGCCTTGTTTGAGGCAGCCAGGAGAAATAAAGGTCTTGGTTTTATACCCATGTGATTGCCTTGACTTTTGACGGACGCTGTGAGAGTGCTTGATGTGGATAGAATAAGATGATGTATATTTATTGTTTGTAGGCTGATGTTTGTTTATTGTTTGTAGGCTGGCAATGCCAAGTTTAACAGAGCAAAACTTCTAAATGTGGGATACCTGGAGGCACTGAAAGAAGAGAACTGGGATTGTTTTATTTTCCATGATGTGGACTTGGTGCCAGAGAACGACTTCAATATTTATGTATGTGGCAGTCAGCCAAAGCATTTGGTAGTGGGGAGAAATAGCACAGGCTACAGGTAAGAAATAATGTATTACCAGATAGGTTTTAATGTAATTCAATATATCTATGAGTTATATTTTTGACCCTGGTTTGCTTGACTTTGAAGTAACAAATCTTGCTGCAGCTAAATTTAGAACCCGTCACTAGTTCTCTGAATTACTAGCATATCCAAGTTGAATCAATGTCAAAATTAGTGACCCAAAATGAGGATTCTCTAATCTTATGCAAATGTTTAGATGACCCAAACTGTATATTAATTTAATGGATTGCAAGAATAACTTTGAGAGAAAATAGGAAGAACTGCAACCTAGATAATGGTTTGATAAGAGATATCCAAAGTCCAAAGCCTTTTGGACTCAGGAATGGTGGTGGAGAAAGTGTCTGAAAGGTGGAGGAAGGGGAAACTGCTTTCAGACTTCCAAAATTATATTAACATATTATTACTATAGAGGTAATATTATGGATAGTGTTTTGTTTTTGTTTTTCTGGTCTGGACTTCCTTGAAGGTCTGATAATTTTACTCATTGTCAAAGATCATTATCTGATCTTTGTAATTGTACTCCCTTTTTTTTCATTGTGGTCCTTCACTTTTATTACTAGAGCTTTCAGATCCTTGCTTTTTTTAGCTCCCTGAGTAATATAATCACCATAACACACTTTGTTGATGCGTCTTCCTCTAATTTTATAAACACGTGTTTTCTTTCAAATTCCTTTAATATATTTTCAGTGTTTAGATTGAATAAATAAGTGGAGAATATATAGTCAACACGCACTCTTTTGCCAGCCAGTCTTCCTCACCATGTTATCTCCAGAATGTGACGTCCTAACCTCTGCATAGGCATCAACATTTTTAACATTATTCATTTTGATTGTTTCAAATAGTTATGGTAAATATGAATTTTCCAAAAGTGATGTAGTTTTGGATGGTCTCATCCCTGGATTCCTGAAGGGAAAAAAAATATTTATTCTGGATTTCACAATTAGATAGTAAGTGTTGACCACTTTCTAGAAGGTTACAGAAATTGAACAGACCTCCTTTCTCCTGGTTTTATTTGGTAGCATTTACAGCATCTGTTTCTACCTGGGATTCAAGGAGGTTGAACTACAGTGCCAATGTAATTCAGAGGGCAACTTTTTTTTTAGCAAAGGAGAAGGTGCCGGGTCATTTGAACTTCCTGTCTTCTGATCAGTTGCTGCCACCTACTGCTTTACCCTGGCATTTGTAATAAAGTATGGATTAACTTTTTACTTGCTCCCTTTTGTTTCAATATAATACACATTACAGGCAAGGTAACGTCGTCCAGTTTTGTTTTCCATTGCTAAAGTGTAATCAGATTTGTTATTTTGAAGAATCATGGATGTGGTGAAATGTGGAACTGAGCAAGACTTATTTAAATGTCCACAATTAGATGCAGAGAAAATAAATTCTTAGTTTGACCCACCACATTCTTTTATTTTTGGTTTCCAAAGTTAATATGATTTTTTTTTAAAGTTCTTTTTTAAAGCAAGCGTTGGCCAGAACAGAATGATGGACAGATCTCACATCCCTTGTCTTGTACTTTGATATTCACAACCCTGTTTCACATTGTACGGTAGAACTCTAAGAAACACATGGATACTTCTGAATTCAGATATGGAAGAAGACTAGAAAACTCTGGTTGCTTGCGGAATAGGTTCATCTGATTCTCCATGGAACAAATTATGTTGCTTATTGGTCCACCTGTTATTTGTTATTTGAGACTGCTTTAAGCAACTTGGTTGTAACTGTAATTTTTGAATCTTTTGGGTTAAGCAATTTGATGAGGAACATATTTGAACTTTGATTGGTGCACACATCATTTATCATGATCACTCCTGTACTAGAAGATGAGTAGTTGTTAACCTTGCAGCCTTTCCACCTCCTGTTATAAAGTTATGGATATGATAGGGGTTTCAAGGATCATCTCGGCCAGTCCTCTTCAATGTGCAGCAAAATTCTTGTGAGATGGTTGATTAACTTAACATGGTAGGCTTATGCACGTGTTCACAACTCCATTAGTGCGAGAGGAGGGTGTGCCCTCCATTTGTGCAAATGCACACTTGGGCTCACACGCAAAGGTCTACTCGAGTGAACAGTGGACACTTGTGTGTGAAGCTCCATTCGCACGAGCTAAGGGTCCTTAAGCGAAGGGGTTTGTGCTCATGAGCAAAGCTCAATTCGCACAAAGGGAGCTTTGTGCGCAGGGCCCCACCTCTCACACAAATGGAGCTTCATGTGCTCAAGCATGCATGCTTACCTATCACTCGCATGGCCTAGTTTCAAACAGGCTTCAGCCCGAGAGTTGGTGACCCCTATTTTAGAATGTTTGTTTTGGGAAAGGAGCACTTACAATTATCAGAACCAGCCTTATAGGGCCTGTATATTACCATAATGGATTAAGCTAACTTGTTAATATCTGCTGACTTTAAAGGAGTTGATACAGCCCAGCCTGTATCAACTACTTTACTTTTCATTTTGTTCTACTTGCTGCTATTGAAGTAGGTAAAGATGCTTATACCTTGATTTACATCATTCTCCGTTGGACCATACATTATTCTAAGTCAAGAGGTATAATATTAACTTTTTTTCAGAGTAGAGGGAGTCAGAAGTGAATGAATTGAATCAAATAGACAAACCACCTCCTTGATCCTGTGATTTAGTAAACGTGAATCTCACACCTTATGGAATTAATCAAGGGGCTTCAAAGGGTCCCCCAGACTCCCCCCAAAGGGAGCTAAGTTAGATGCAGGTGCTTAGTATATGAGTTCAATCCACTAGTTCAGAATAAATGGGTTCATTATAATCCCAAAGGGCAATGAAGATGCTTGTCGTCATTGTCAAAACCAACATGCAGTGCTGGCTAATATAGTAAAAGCCCAAAATCTTTGGCATACATTTCTTGGGAAAGCTTAGGAAAATGTTTTGCTGGGTATTACTCCTTTTTTGTGTTTTTTTACAAACTTGGAATTCTGCAAACTTTCTGTTTCTGATAAATATGTAAATGCCATTTTTTAAAAATAACTTTCCTGCCCCTGCATATGTGTTCATAGGTTGCGTTACCAAGGATACTTTGGCGGTGTAACTGCTCTGACAAGGGAACAATTTCTGAAGGTGAATGGATTTTCAAACAACTACTGGGGCTGGGGAGGAGAGGACGATGACCTTCGGATCAGGTACATTTCAGTCAAATGCAAAGTGGGTGGCACAGATTGTGGGTGATGGGAATTTTTCCTGTGGGTATGACTCACATTTGGTTAAAGCAAATTATCTTAAGAGAGTCTGAAAACTGAGATCAGAGTTGGCATGCAGGAAGCTTAATCAGAAATATAGAAGTCTGTCTTGACTTTTTTTAAAAAAACTGGAAGTCCACTCCACTAACTAGGATTGGCTGCACTTATATGAGATGGTTTTCTTAAGATAGCTTGACATAACCACAAACAAGCTTCTTGTTACTTGTTTTTTTAACCACCCCTCTGTATTTGGATTATTTCAGGTTTCTTCTTCCATGAAGCAGCATGAAAGTAATGCTGCCCTCTTAGTGCAAGGTGGGAATAATTCAGCAACAGATAAACAATAATTGAATCGTTTAAATTTGTGCCAATGTATGCGAACCTATGATGCAACTGTACTGTTTGCACCTAACCATAATTGCCACTAGCAGAACAATACAATGTATTGTATTACAATATATCTGCTTTGGGGTTCAACAATATTATTAAGAGAGGAAGCGTCAAACCAACTTAAAAAAAACACTTTGAAGGCTGTCTCTGGCTTTTTGTGCATGTGCTTCTAATGAGCATGGACTATTCATGGGGAGACAACAAGAGTCAGCCTTCAGAACAGTTGTGCAATGCTTCTGAATCTTTGGTGGTCCAACCATAAGGATCTCATAGACCTAGATGAAAAAACAAAGGAATATAGAGTAGAGTTCCAGTAAAATGAATAACAATTATAAAATCCTTCTCAGGATCACATCAGAAACAACTGATGTGTTTTTCTGATTTTGTTGGTTCTGCCTGTCAGCAAATGTAGCATTTAGAATTGGTTCATTCTGTTTGTCTTTCTTCCTAAAGGTCAACAAAGCTGGGATTTGCAAGAAGATAAATACTTAGCATTCAGAGGAACAGATAGTGCAATCCTAATTTTTAAAAGGGAGAATGCTAAAAAGTGCTGTTAGAATCCAGAATGCAATATACAGAATGTTTTTCGTTCTCTAAATTGTGATACCAGCCTCTCCAAATCTGGTGCCTTGCAGTGTTTTGAAATTATATCTTCAAAAATTGTCTCATCTACATATATAATACTTTTCTGGGAAACACGGGACTAGATAAGGGCATTTCCATCACCTTCCTTTAGTCAATCCATTCCCAGTTAATTTGCAAATGATCAGTATTGCTGAAATTAATCCAAAGTCTTGGCCATGTAGCTCAGTGTAGTCAAGTTTGAAACATCCTCCACAGAATGTTATCCAATTTGTTTGACACTGTCAGTGACAAGAAGCAAACCATCTCCCTATGGACATGGTTCTGTTCTCAAACATCTAGTCTCTGCTATAATTTTTCTTTACAATCAGTGGCAGTCTTCCTTCCTGCATTCTCTCTCCCATAGCCAGGAATAGTAAAGGAAAAGAGCATGAAGTTCATACAGGTAGTCCATGACTTAAGATCAAAATTGGGATCAAGATTTTTGTTGCTAAACAAGGTAGTGTTAAGCAAATCACAAACATACATAATCCTCCTTCCTCCTGTTTTCCCCATAACAGCAACATGCAAAGTAAGTTGGGCAGAGAGAAAGTGATTGGCCCAAAGTCACCAAGCCAGTTTTCATGCCTAGAGTGGGATTAGAACTGTAAGCCATCACCTCGTTTCTAGGCCAGCACTTTAACCACTATACCACACTGGCTTTCTGCCATTGTAATTAAACAGTTACAAGGGAAGAAAAGAACTATAAAACAGAGGCTATAATCCTCAACTCTTGTAGATGTTATATGATGAATTCTATGGTTAATGATATCAAAAGCCCCTGTGAAGCCTAATAGGGTCACAAAGACCCTATTCAGGTCATCCATAACAGCAATCAATGCAGTAATATATGATGATGTATTCATTTGCTTCTTTCAAGGACCTCTGCAACTGAGCCCCAATTACAGACTTTTCACCATCTCTTATGGTCATAGTGTAGGCTTCAACGTAGACCTTCACTTATGATTGGTTCAATTTTTGCCCCCCCCCCCCATTGCTTTAGGCAGGTAACGATGGTTGATTTCAGGACTTATTGGTCAAGTTAGAAAAATGTGCAGGAACAACTTCATTGATTAAATGTGCAGGAACAATTTCATTAATTATTTATATATGAGATCTATGTTGCTTTTCTTCTAGGACCTGAAGGTGGCATACATAGCATTACTGCCTTCAGTTCTTACAATAGCTTTGCAGAGTGAAATGGACTGAGAGGTAGTACAGGGCTTGGCTATCATGGTTAAAAATGGACTTGAACTTGAGTTTCCTATGTTCTAGCCCAGTACCTAGTCCATCAGACCACAATGTAATATGAATTATTCTGCTCACTATTGGCAGTTTTACATATATTACACGTGGTTGCTACTTCTAGGGAAAAGCGGTTTCAAAGGCAAATTTAAAAGGGAGAAAAGTAACATGTACGTGAACAATTTCCCCTGCTCTGTTTTCCATTCTTTGCAGGCCTCTTCTTTCATTTTGTTAAGAATAAAAACTCATCTGGAATCCTGAAAAACAGAAAATCAGCCACAGAGTGAAGTGCAGGAACAAATTAAGAGGCAGTTTTCTCTATTTCACATCCCACTCAAGCTATTTCACTTTAGAAGCAGCGGCAATTGGAGAATTAGGATTAGGAAAGGCAGTTCTGAAATAGATCAAAAACTCATCTAGTTCAGGAATTTATTTCCAAGTTGACCAGTAAGTATATAAATAGTTGCATTATCCTTATATATCCCGGTGATTGGTACAAAAAACCTGATTAGTAGTTGTGATCAATAGCCTTACCCTCTATCATTTTAATGTTAAAACTCTCTGCTCTAATTGCCATCCCTAGCAATGTATTCCACAGATTACAAATTATTTGTGTCACAAATTTCCCATAATTCGGCTTCATTGAACATTGGTTGGGGTGCCCTGAGAAACAAAACTTTGATCTTATCTACCTCTTCATCAGCATGAATTTGTTGTATATAATTCAGCTGTGCAAATTTGGCATTTGACTCAGAAGACGTACTTTGCATGCCGACCCGGTAGTAATGCCAGCAGGAACCCATCCCTGTGATACACCTCTTTCAAATTAAACATGTAGTATTAGTCTTAACATGCAATTTCAGCTTATACTAAGATTGTCCTTCCCTAAAGCAAAAAGGGCCATAGGATTTTTCTACCTTCAACATAGGACTTTTGGAGACGAGGAAGTGGGTTTCATGAAAATTGTGCTATTTCCACTTTTCAGTGGCAGTTTATGTAGCGCTCATTCTGTGCTTGCTGCATTCTCATTCATATAGCATTAGTTAGATTTAAGATTTTACTTCGTAAAATGTGCAATTTGAGAAAGAGCCTGTATTCTAGAGGTTCTCTTTTCAGGACTGGAATGTTGAGTTCATGTTCATGGTTGCTTTCATGTGTGCTTTCCTAGTCATTATCAGCAAGCAAAATGGCCAGGAAGCTCTCCATCATATTCTCTAATCTACCATAATACTTGCACTTCACAGTCATTACTCACAAATTGTCACATTTTTGTTTTCAGGGTTGAAATGCAGAAAATGAAGATAATCCGACCTTCCCCCAGTATAGCCAAGTATACTATGATCTTTCATACTAGAGACCAAGGCAATGAGGCAAATGGCCAAAGGTGAGTTAAGAAAACTGTATCTATGAAGCAAATTCTACTGAAGAGTATAATTGGTGACAGGAAAAATTAGGCTGTGCATTGTGTTCCTGATAGATACAGTATGTTTGGGAGATTTGGATATCTGAGAATGGATGGATTGAAAACAAAATAATTTATTATACAGCCTCAAGAGGTGTATTTTAACATATGACTTAATATGTGACCTGTTTTTTCTTTCTCTCCTACCTCCAACATTAAAATCTCTTCAGAATGAATCTCTTGCGTCAGGTGTCTCGAGTATGGAAGACCGATGGGCTAAATTCATGCTCCTATAAACTGCTTTCAAAAGAATACAATCTTTTATATACAAATATTACAGTGGATTTTGGAAGGCAAACTAAGTTTTCATAACCATTTCTTATGGCTAATAAATTTTATTCAAATGGACCAAAACAAAGTAATGACTTGAGCTACAGCAGTGAAATATTTCATTTTCTGTTGGTGGACACTCAACAAGTTTTTTACACATGGAAATTTTTTAAAACTGTTAGATTTGTTAGTTACTCTCTTTTGAGCTATAAGACAACGTTGAAATTAAAGACTTTCTTTGGATAAAAGTAATCCTTTATAAAGAATTCTATTGAACATTTTTTTTTGAAATGAAGAGATATAAGAACAATTCAACTGTTAATTTTTCAATGAAACAAGATTTTTTTTCCAGTCCAACTTTTTAAAATGTCATTTTTTCAGTTGAAGAACTGTTCATCATATTCTAAATGGGGTGGTACATAATTTCTTTTTCTTAAACAAGTAAAAATTAAAATTTTGAATAAAATTTAACCTGTTGATCTTCAGTTTTCATATTTATCCGAATATCTGTCAGTTTAAGAATGTGAAAATTTACTACTAAAAGAAATTGATTACTCTGTGTTTTTCATTTTTCAAAGGATAACAGCCAAACATATTTGCATAGAGTACATAAGTAGATAAATTGACATTAAAATGATAGCATACACCTTTGCAAGGTTAGAGTGCAGAATGGTCTTAAAATGCAGTGCTATTTCTTCAGGATGGAGGGGAAAGCTGGAAGACAATTAATGCAACTAATGAATATAAAATATTAGTACTAAACATAAAAATGGTTCTATGGTTAAATGCAAAACATTATATTTTTTAAAAAAATGAGCATAAAAATAAATTGTGTTCCAGCTACCAAAGTCAAATTATTTTTATATTGTCAAGGTGGCTATTAGCAAACCACATACATTTGAAAGGCAAACAATCCTTATTTTCTCAGCTGATTTACAAACGGACAGAGGGAAATAGATTCAACATTGGTGCTTTGAACAAACAGCAATCTTGCTTAAATATTTATAGATTTCCTATTCTGCCTTTCTATAGGAGGGCTGCTATGATGATTCAGTGAGCTATATATATGAGATATAATACAAGGTAAATCTCCATTTCCATTAATTCCATATTTTTAATATGATAAATAAACAGCTTCTGTCTAATCAGTTTCAGTCTACACAAATATATCAAACTTTTAAAAATAACGAGACCCCAATGAAATGTGTTTAAAAAAGCAGATAATCAGTTCATTCAAATACTTACATGTTTATTAATACTTTTAAATTGTTTCTTGAAATTCACTAAGATATTTTAAAATAACACCTAATTAACATATAATTAAAAAATACTTTCTTAAAGTATTAAATTCTTAAAATATGGGTATAGAAAACTGAATTTTCTAATGAAAAACCTTTCAAAAAGAGACCCATAAGTCAATTCCAAATTCATATATTTCCTGAAACATTGGTAACAAGTAACATTAACATAACTTTTTTTAAAATATTTGCTATGCAGAAGAGTTGTGCAAATTAGAAAAGAGCACAGGATTCAGTAGACATTTTGCAATTATTCATAGACCAATTTGTTGCTGGTACTTGACAATTCCTATAGCAGAACTATAGCTTCTAGCTTCTGACAGTTTACTGCAGAACAAGATAGGATAATTTCTATGTTGCTAATGTCAATGAAGCAAAACCAATCTACCTCAGATATGGTTTCTTTATAGTGTATTTGGCTCCTGCTTAATTGGTCAAATGCATGCAAAAACAATGTTCTCTTTCCCCTTCTTGCATTCCTGGTGACTTTAGCTTGTAAAAAGCTCTAGGATTTGAAAGCTTCAGATGATGCCAAAGTCAAGTGTTATTCCTTTTTCTTTGACTTGGAGGTGGTAATGCTGGCGTGGCTCCAATATCTACCACAATGTGTGTATAAAGATGTTTTTTCTTCTTTTCTAAGAGTTTGAAGACAAGGGAATTTGTTCCATCATCTTTCCATGTTTGGGAAGTATGCAATTTAGCAGGCCTAGGGAAAGGAAGATTCCACTTTAGATAAACTAGGAATATTTTACATATAGAAATGCAAATCAAACAATGTTTCATTACTAACTTTTTAGAAAGGGAAAAGGAAATTGTTTCTCGTATTACAAAATAAGCATAGGCAAATGGAAACTTGTTTCTAACATATTGTTAGGAAGAACCTTTGTAAGAGGAAAAATTAATATTATTAAGGATATACTGTATATCAGAGGTTCTTCATGAATGGAGCAAATATTATGCAAATATATAGTCAAGAGTTTAGGAAAGTAATCTAGGTGAGATCCCAATCATATATAGTCATTTGGGCTAATTAAAAAAAAGTGAATTATAGCCAGAGAATCTGATTTTGGTGAAAAACATTTGTCCTGACTGAGATTTCATTGATGCAACTTGAATTGGGATTGCACTTCATGTTCTAATTTATCATGCAAAACCCCAGACAATGGGAGAAGTGGGAAAAGGAGGGATAGAGCCAGGGATAGAGCCAGCCTTCTCTTATTCTAACTAACTAGATGTAACAAATGTTTATTTTCAACCCATGTGATTGGTGTTCTGTTGCTTTTGCCTTTAAGAGAATGTTTACTTTTGAATATTGGAAACCATTTTTTGAAATATGTAGATAGGATTTATAGATATATCTCCCTCACTTCCATAATAAGCAGTTTATCATATACAAGATGGAGTGGAGTTTCTAGGTAGATGATACAATTACTAACCACACTGCACTTCTGTTTGTCAGTTCCAATAAAGCCTCAATTCACACTCCCAGAATATATATTACAGGTACTATACCTAAATGTATTTGCTCTGGTTGGCTAATATTTAATTAAAATATTTAGCCCTGCCAATGACTACAAACATTCCTTTTTTAAAAAATCATTTTTTAAAAGGAGCCTAGGTAGCCTACAGAACTTACATACAAATAAATTATATTGCTACTTTAATTAGATTTTAAATTTTATGAAAATGTCAACAATAAGTTAACAATTATTGAATGTAACATTAAAATTAATCACCTTAATTAATCACCAAAGGTCCTCTGGAAGAACCATATTTCTACTTCAGAAAGGCCAACAGTGACTGTTGTGTGAGAAGGCAAGCTATTCAGTTACGACAGTGCTGAAAAAATAACTTGGCAATGGAGTTGCTGGTCCCAATTGTCACAAAGAAAAGACTTCCTGTAGTGATTAGTCTCTTAAACCATACTGACAAATTTATTGGCAACCAGAGTAGCATTGATACAGTATCTACATTGATCTATTACATCAATGCTGCAGGAACTGCTCTGGTTACTCACAACTAACTACAGCACTTCTGCCACTGCATTCTGGATCAAATGCATAAGATAGTTTGACTTCAATTTAAATTGATATATGATAGGAATTTGATCTGCAGTGTTATGCATGAACAATACTTCACATAAGGGAGGGAAAATTATGATTGAATTTGAGTGGAAAAGAAAAATAAATAAATACGATCACCTTTTTAGATTCAGCAAAGGGCTAGGTGTTTGTTCATAACCCATCATTTTGTAACGTCCAACATGAAGAGGAACCTGAATTATTTTCATTCCTGCTATATGGATCCTTTTTGAAAAACATGGTAGGAAAATTACTTCCTTAATAAGAAAACAGGCAAATGTACAATTGAAAAAGTTATGACAACTACTTTTTAGACAGTAAATAATGCTTCTCTCTTTTCTGGGTAAAATAAATTAATAGCTTTAAATATTCCTTACAGCGCCGACCACTTTTAAAAAAAAGTCTTTTGAGAAGAAGACTAAAGAAGTGCTGACCACATTTTGTTAGTCTTTTGAGACACACCCCCCCACACACAACTGGGTTTCATGTGGGTGGGTTGGGTGATATTGTCTGTATGAGTATATATGGACAATTGAAAGCATGCTGTTAATTTTCTCTAAGGGAAATATTGCAACAGCAAAACTAAGACTAGTTCTTAAGTGTAGTCTGATAAGGTGGTTGGCAGAGTAGTATGAGAAGTGCAGCACCAGGAAGAAAATACGCAGATGAGAATCTTGGCTCTTCAGCAAGTCACTTATATTCATATGAAAGAAAGAAAGAAAGCTTGTTGTATGTTATTTTAGAAATAGAATGAACAGACTGAATTATGGGTGGTTTTTTATAAGTACAGAATTGAAGTTTGGTTGCAAAATGAGTGAATGATGCAAGAAAAGTATGTATCAATATAAATGCGAGCAGAAAGTTAGAAACTAAATACAATGACATTTTGGTTATTTAATGCATTTATGGAAAAATCTACATAGAACATTTACAGTGGTGGAGATGGAAGCATAGATAATACTTTGTTTACAGATGATGCCATAAGCCAAAAAACCAAATTATATGAAGTACAGGGCGGGGCATAACCTTTTCCTAGGGGGTCACAGCAACACTTGTAATAACAACACAAATAATTCATACACCATTCGAAAGCCCATCAAAAACTGAGTTTATTGACACGATTTAATAGTCAGTATGACCACCATTAGCCCTTCGAACAGCATTCAAACGAGGTGGATAAGAACACAACAAATCTTCAAACAGTTCCGTTCGATTTTCCAGATTTTTCAACCCAGTTTCCAAATTCATTCTCAAAGTTTCAACCGAATATCGATTTTGACCTTGCTCCTGAATCATCAGAGCTTCCACTTCATCCTTAATTATGGCCCCAATGTTCTCTGCCGGATTGAGATCTGGCGAATTTCCCGGCCAGACATCATTGCCCCAAAATTCGACATTGTTTTCCTTTAACAATTGCTGAGTCGCATTTGCACGCATGCAAGGAGCTTTGTCATGAAGAAAGACAGCCTCACCAACCACCAAGACATTGTCTGGATCACTGAGAAATAAAATTTTATTCTCCAATAAAATTTTCTCACGGAAATAACTGCCATCCCAGGATTCCCCTTTATCCTTCAAAACCCAATGCAGTTTCTTGGCTGTGAAAATGACGAAAATCCCGATGCAAGTCGGATTGCGAACGATTTGTCGATATCGTTCATGTTTGGCGATGTCGTCGACGTCTTTAGCCCAAATTCGATCGTTCTGGAAATTCGGTTTTCGAATGGCATAAACGAAGAATTCGTCAGATGGCGCCAAATGAAGAAAATCTTCCTCGGTCCATTCAGACAACCAATCGCACAACCAAAGCCGATCTTGAACGTGTGTTTGAGTTTTCAATGGTTTGCAAATGACGTGGAATGGCTTCAAACCTTCTCGTTCTCGATATCGGCCGATTGTCCTTTGATCAACTCGTTTTCCACGAATTTGAAGGATTTCTTAGGCCACTTTTCGGTTTCCTTTTCGTTGTTTGCGACTGCCAGTTGCAATGATGGCTTTGCTTTCTTGGGACAGTTGCAGAGGACGCCCTTCTCCAAATTTTGTGAAACATTCTTGGGCTGTTTTGTTCCAATTATCAGTAACCCAATCCGGATGACGTTTCAATTTGTTTGCAATCCATTTTCGATTGATAAACGTCGCTCCAGCATCGCGAGCCTCTCGAAAGGCAATGCATTTTATTCTGTCAATGATCCTTTGTTCTTCCGAATCGAATTTTCCAGCCATTCTTAAAGCAAATTTAACATTTAATAGCTCATTCAATTCAGTTTTTTATGGGCTTTAAAATGAGGTGTCGCGGAAGTTGTAAACTGCTGTCGATCTTGCTGTGACCCCCTAGGAAAAGGTTATGCCCCGCCCTGTAAATGTTAGGTTGTAAAAAAGAATATGAATATGAAAAGTAATGTTTTGAAGAAAAAGATCAGTTGAAAATGGAGTTACACATAATGGGTGAAAAACTTGTAACATCCGATTTCTCATATAGTTGGTACAATGTTTATTAAAGATGAGGGGAAAATGGTCTTACAATGCAAGAGTTTATCACCAATACTTTGACTGAATTCCAGTATGTATGAATTCTTACTTTCTGTGATGTTGTACAATTTGTCTTCAAGCTTGACTCTCCCTGTTTAGATGAAGGAAAAGGGTGCAAAGAACTGCAATTAAAAAAATATAGACGTCCCATGAACGGAACTCAAAATGCAGTTCTTGGAGTAAAAAGTCATTAAATGTATGACAGGAAAAATACTCAGTTATGTGTTTTAGCAGGAAAAAAAAGACACCCTTGCAAACTAATAACATGTATGTGTTCCTCAAACTGTTCCTTAGTACTTGCTATGTTTCTGCCTTAACTTAAATATGTTTTTTTTAAAAAAATATTTTTAAGACTTAACCTCTAGTATAGGCTGTATTTCTAACGTTGACTTTGGGCCCTATGTTGGTACCACAAAGATTATTGATGGCAGCCCAAAGCTTTGTCTTATGTATGTATGGTATTGTAATTGCTATAAGAGATGCAATCAGTAATTTTGTTAGGTTTCCTATATCCTGATATTTGAATTTTGAGATTATTCCATTGTTTCACTCTATATTTTTTATAATAAAATGTTATACTAAAATATTTAAGCATGTCTGGTACTGATCATAGTGAAAATATTATTTCTTGGTCATAATGCACTTGCTAAGGGTAGCCATTTTGAATCCTTCAAAAGCTTTTGAGGATATTGTAGTTTTTATTACTTTGAAAAATGGTATAAAGCAGTCATCTGAAATAAAATGCAGTAAACTTTCAGTGGCCTTCTCTTAAGTTACTTAATTTATTAACCTACCCATATTTTAATTCTGTTAGATGACAATCTAAATTACAACTTTTGAAGTAGCTGAAGGAAAAATAATTTGATATATTGTGAGAAATAGATTAAATACTGAGTGGATGTATATTAGATTTTCTATAATCTAACAATGTTAGATTATAAAATTAGCAAACTGATTGCTAATAATGAAACTATTACAACTGACAGGTATAATTTGGCAGCAGCTGGTATGCAGCAGGAATGTCAGAATATGCTTGATAGAATTGTGCTAGAATTGCAGTTTCTTTTGAAAGGCATGGACAAATGATAAAATATAGTGTTTACTTTCTTTTGAGAAGCACTTTTTGAAATTATGCTTATCCTAAAATATTAAAATGCATGGGAAGAATGTTTTAATTTCAGGTATGTGACTATAAAATCACACACAGCAAAGAAGTTCCAGCATTTGCATGATTTAAAATGGTCCAAGGACTTAAGTATTTATTACAGTAATAAAGTAAAAACAACAACAATAAAGTTAAACATTTTGTATATTGGACAGTAGCCAGTCTTAATAATTCCAGATTTATTGATGCTAACAAAATCATCAGATGGGATCTTAAATTAGACTTAAGAATTTTAGTTAAGAGCTTCCATCACTAAGACAGGTTATTGTATTAGGAGCCTATAGAAGTAAAGCAGCACAGTACCTTTTAATTTAGCATATGGACTGTGATAAAATCACAATAGTCTTAGGTTTTGGTACCGAAGCTAATTTTTTAAAAAACATATAATGTACACATGGATAAGCTTACCAATGAAATATCAGCATGGCAAATTGGTTGATTAAAAAATGAAGAGATACCCAAGTTTTGGAATAGAAATGAGTGTTTTGGAAAAATAGGCAAAAGCTGTTAAAAATATTCTAGTAATTTACTAGTAAACTAGAATTAATTTTGACACGATTCCAATTGAACAGCTATTTACTATAGCTGACTGATACAGAAGTAGGAAGATAGCAATAGCACTTAGACTTATATACCACTTCACAGTGCTTTTGAGCCCTCTAAGCAGTTTCAAGAGAACTTGAAATGCTAAGATAAGCAAGACAATATGTGATGATATTCATATCATTTCAACCTTTAAAAATGATGTTTATAATATGTTGTACGATGGCCTTAGTTTCATTTTTCTTCAAACAATTTTAGGGATAGGTATAAAATGGCATTATTTGATTGGAGAATACTTTCTATATATATAATATTCACTAACAATAGCTGATGAAAAAAGGATGTCTTTGTTGCTTCTTTAATACCCACAATATGTATCTTGCTTAAAACTTTAATGCTTGAACATACTTTAACATTTCAGTAAATAAATACCTTTCTGCAATGTCGTCATCTTCATCAAGATGCTCCCAGTATGTGTTTGGAAACCCATTTATCTTCATGTAGTGGTCTGGGGTCAAAGCAGTAACACCACCAAAAACAGACGAATATGGCAGGCTGCACAGAAAAATAAACTTAATGCATGTGATTGTATAAGTAAATACACACGGATTCATCATACAAGCAAATGCATGTGGGTACTTTTTCTTTACTCCAGCCCTTTCACACCTGTACAATATATTGCATTAATTAGAATTCTATTGTTGATGCTTTTTGTGGTACTAACCTAGGAATGAACATAGGAAAATCAATGTGCTTTAACAGTTAAAATTCTGGACAGGGACCAGAAAGACAAATTTTAAATTCTTAACAGGTGACTTTAGGTCAAGGCAGATATATTTTACAAGCTGTTGTAGTTAAGGTAATATAACAGAAGAGACCTATGACCTAGAGAAAAGGCAGTTATGCAATAATTAAATTGTGAAATAATTATTATAGAAACTTCAAGTCTTCAATAAACTTAAAAGCAAATTCTATATATAATTCTGAAATAAATATAAATCCTTTTAGATATATAGGGTTGATGTCTAAATAATTATATTTAATATTAGAGTTTAAAACACAACTAGGAAAATATTTCAGCATCTGAATTTACCCATATTGCAAATTATAAAGTGACTGATTTCTGAAAATCATTGATAGTCAAATAAATTAGCTCACCCAGTAATTTTTTAAAAATAAGATACTTATGCGCTGCCACAGTTAAGTATTATTCCTAAATGTTTAAAATGTTATTCAAAAAATATATAAATTCAATCCAAATGAAAACACATCTCCTGGACAGAACATGAAAAGCGTCTGGAATTAATTTTTAAAAAGTGAAATGCATATAAATCTAAATGTTTATTCATTATAAATTATTCAAATAATGAATTAGTAAATATATTCAATAAACCACATTTGTTCAGATTATTTTATTTCATAAGATATTTACTGTCATATTCTTAGACATTACCGGTAATATAACTTGTCAATAGCAGTGGATAAGTGTTTGGGATAATATTTATCACAGACATAAAGATTATAGTCATTTTCTGGAATAAGATCCATATTATGTAGAAGCAGACAGTCCCAATCATTCTCTTTCATGGCCTCATGGACGCCAACATTAAGGAGCTTTGCTCTGTTAAATGGACCAGTTCCAGCCTGGAAAGAAAACATGCCACTCAATCAAGCAACATAACAACATTGAAATCTGACAGCAATGCCTCTTCATAATAACTGTATTGTATTCATTTTGCAAAAAGCTTCTGGTGTGATTGGATGAGTTGTGTTGGTATTGGATGATCAGTGATTGTGAAAATTGGATAACTTGTTAGTCCTATATTCATAAAAAATAAAAGTACCGGTAATGTTTTATCTGTGATTAACATACAATCTGAATACTGGGAAAAGAACTAGGGAGGCGAGACAAAGTAGTCTAAGATAGCAAAAAATAAAAATCAGGAGTAGCAATTTTTTTGATTAGATTTCAACAAGGTGCATAAGCTTAATGGGCTTCAACACCATTTACTAGAAGCACTCAAATGCAAGATAAAGGGGCTGAACGAGCAGATAAAATAGAATAGGAAGGAAAAACGTAATGCATGTTCACAAAAACAGCAAAGGACATAATTTGAAACAGGAGAAAAAACATTCAACACTCAGACAAGATTCTTAGTATCATCATGACGTGTGTGTGTGTGTGTGTGTGTGTGTGTTTCTGTGTGTCCCAGTTTTGGGGAGGACTTGATAGGTGGATAAATTGCCAAATTTAGTCTAAACATCTAACTATGCAATGAACTATAATAAAAAGAATGTATTAAGTTTGTATGCTGCCTGACTTTCAATAACTCTGGGAGGCTCCAACAATCAGAACCAGAAATTACAAAAAAAACACATTAAAAATAAAGCACAATTGAGTCCATCACTGAAATCATTGATAAAAAGCCAGGTCTTCGTGACTCTTTTAAATAACAGAAGAATAGGGTCCATTTGGTTCTTGCATCTCGTATTGCACTAAAGCTATGCATGAAAATTGCATGAGAGTCCACTGTAATATACAGAATCATCATGTTTCATTTAATATCTCTAAAATACATGTTTGATTTTCAATTAGATACTCCCCCAAATGCCCTAAAATTAAATAGTAAAACTAACAATTTTCAAATGAGCTTTGTTCTTCAGTACTCTATTCATATTAACAGGAAATATAAATGGAACATTTTTCAAAGGAACATCAATACAATGATTTGGATAAGACTGTAATCATAGTTTCTCCCAGACTGACATAGAAACTGCTTGATTTATTGGAATATGAACCATGCATATTTTGAAAAGTGTTATCACTGTTGAGATTTCATCTTTCTTTATAATGTATGGAGCAGTTTCTATGCAGTTTTATGAGGACTTTAAAGCAGTCTTCTCCCATGTACGGCTTCTCAGAATCTATATACTACTAAAACCAGTGTCTATAACCTTTAACTGAAATGATACACCATAAGCAAAACTGTTTCAACCAAATGGGTACATTAAATGGGCTACCTTACAGAATGCGTCAAAAATCCAGGAACCATGAATCACATAAAATTAAAATTTGTAAAATTTTATAAAATATTATCATAAAAAATATTTTGACATAATACAAAATGTCACAAAACGTTTCCTATGGTCAGCTCCTAAAGTTAGACTGTACTATATATTCAATATAGGTTACTTTCAAGGCAGATGTTTCTTTGAATATTACCCTGAATTTTTAAGAAATTTTCAAGACATGCCCAACTACCATTGAAGGCTTAAGGAATATGGTACGGAAATAGCTCTGAAATGATGACCTAAGGGATCATGGATTTGTCCAGTTTCCAAATCATATTGACTCAGACTTTGAAGGCCTATCCAGACTTGCTAATACAGTCAATAGAACTATATGTAACTATTCCCGGTATAATCAGATACCATCTGTGCTCAACCAGAGACTTTCTTGATAGTTTGGCTTACCTGATGAATCAAGTAGATACAATAGCTAAGCTGTTGGCGTTGGAGAAAGGGATGAAGGTAATAGAGAAATTGGTGCAACTTCTTTTCACAGTTCCTGCATGGTACAATTATAGCAGTTTTGTAATGGGCTAGACAATGAGGTGGGCTGTAACAGCCACCCAATTGGACATATGGATTTTTGTGGATAATTGTTCTTTCACTATGTAGTGTATCAAAGGTGATGGTTAAGAGTCCCACTGCATAAAATATGGATTGACAAAGGAGAAAAAGAAAATTATGAAAAACTTAGAAAATTCAGCATGTCTGAAAAAAGATGATTTTTATCATTTTTTCTCTAGAAGTATTTCTAAATGTACTCTCATGGAAAATACTGGCTATGCTTGAGTATTTCATTAAATAATGTTTTAGCTTTACAGCATATGAACCCATATGAACTTCAGATCTCAACTATCCTTCAGCATAGCACTTAAAATTTCTTAAAATTTCTTTACGTATGAGCTAGTCAAGAAAGTCATTTTCAAAGCCTCAATTTGTCTTCTTTGGGTCAATTATACAAATTTGTTTATGTTAGAACATTATGCCAAACAGCAGTTAATATAAAAGGAAAGGTTTTCTGAAGCCTAACTTATAGTCATATTGGAAAAGGTGAAAAAAAAGAAATGAAAACCGCTATTATTTTAAACACTAAATCATGTCCCATTGATTTTTTTCAGTATGAAAATCTGTACAAATACTCATTAAAAAGTTAATAAACACCCTTCTTGCAAAAGTATTTGAATTTTTAGTTCTATCATATTTAATCTAGGTATACATATTTTTCCATGGTAAGTAAAATCACATAATGCATATAAATTGCAAAGAATACAATTTCCAATTAAACCATTCAGATCAAGTCAGATATTACATGCCTTATATTTGGATTGAAAATTCATAATGGCATTGCAATATATAATTTTAGTGCAAAACTAATGGTTTTATAACAGGAGTAAAATTCATCAAACAACAGTTTGCTGGCACATTTTGATTGCTGATCAAAATGAGTTGAGCAAGCTTTTTGAAATAGAGTGGAGGATATATTGTATTATGGTTCCCTTGCCTTTCTACCTTACTTTACCATACTGTTATCTATGCTTTGTATTTAAACAAAATGCCAGACTATAAACACTATGGACACAACTACTGAGATTTTTAAAAAAGGTTTACAGAAATATTCATCTAAATCTATTCCTAATGCATTAGTGCAAGTAAAACAATGTATAATTGAGTACAAAAATAATTTGTACCACAATAAAAAGACTTGTACTTACTGTTTTGCCAGAGATGGGGGGAAAAAGCAACTTTGATTACCATTTTACTACATTATATTTTAATCTTATTACTATTTTGGGATGTCTGTAAACAGGATCAGGAGCAGATTGGAATGAAAATAGTGAAATAAATTTGTGGTCATTTTACAAAACTACTCTGTATTATTTTGACCTACCTTGTAGCAAACAGCAACAGCAGCTATTAATGCATACAGTAGTAGTAGCAGCCATGTTCGCAACAGAGAGACCTCCAGAAAATGAATAGGGGAAATCCATACCAATTATTGTCTAGTAAGTCTTGGGATCTTGTGTAACATGGTGCACTTCTAATCACCATTGATAGACAAGAGTTGTCACAGAAGAACAAAAATAACCATGTATAGCTTTCAAATGCTAGTCAAATCATACTGACACAGATCAGCTTATTAGACAAAAAAAATTAACCTGTATTGTGCGTATTTCATACATACCAAGTATATTTGACTGTGATGTACAAGTCTGCATAGTGGTCTTTTGAGGAGCAGGAGTAAATAAACTAAGATTTATATAGACATCCTCTGATTTTGAGTAGTCCAATGACTTATGTATTTCTAAATGACCCTGAAATAAAACTGAACTGCTGCCTCGGTAAAGTATCAAGACGAATATAATTTGAAAGATTACCAAGAGAAGCAGAAAGCAAGAATTTTCTGCTCGAGAAAAATTCATTTTCTTCATAAAAAAAATTACTTCTTTAGTTCTTCAGAACTTTCCAGTGTTTTAACTTTGCAGGTACTGTAGCTAAAGTTTCAGTAAATGACTCTTTGAGGTAACTGAGTATGGAAATTGTCATTTTTCGGAAGTATTCTAGATTCTCAGCATGATTTCTTTAAACTCACAGGACGTTCTAGATCAAATGCTTTATATTTTAACCATCTTTGGTGAATCAATTCTTCCATTATCCAATCTGCAATTATAAGGGAAAAGCAGTAAAAATTAACTAATAATATAGAGCTTAAATACAAACAACCCTTCCAATTATATATTGGATTTATATAACAATTATATACCAAATAGGTTATACGTTATATACCAATTATATATCAAAATAGTTATGCGTGCCTAGTATTGATGCTCAAATATAGGAATTCCTATAACTCTTAATATTCAATTACAATTATACAATTCTGAGACATTGCTCAAGTTTTTTTTAATATTGTGAAGTGTCTTTTAAAAAACATTTTTCTTCTCTCCTTTTAATCTACCAACACGATAAACCTCCCTTCCTGATTTAAAATCAACTCATTTTCTGAGTAGATTGGTTAGGAAATATAGTTCTACATTCAGTCTCATTTATATACTTGCATTCTGTTTTTGCTACTCAAGAATATTTCTTCAGGACTTTTTGGACATGCTGTTGTAATTATATTAACTCAAACATACATCTCCAAATCTTGTGGTTTTTCCTTCAGGTTCAAATGTTAATTTGTTGATATAAATTATGAAGATAGACTTAAATCTAGTTTAGTGCTCTTTGCTTTATCTTCCTCATGCATCTGAAAATGCATGTTTCTTCCCTAAGGATAAAAAAGTTGAATGTAGTATTGGAATCTGCTGCTGGCTACTAGTCTTCTTTTTTCCAGAGAGTTAATTCTAAATGGTCTAATTCTAAAGTTGACCAAATATTAATTTGAAACAGCAGTCAGAGAATAACTTCCTATTAATAAGCCTGTCATATTCACTGCTATATCTGATCCCCATAAAATTTTCTTCAATATAACTAAAAAAGGGATGTACTAAAAAAAAGATATACAGATTTTACTATTAGGGGAACATTTGTGTTTATATCCGTTTTCCTAACAGAAATCCTTTCTTCATAACTTATTCCAGTTTCAGTTTTATTATTTGTGAGGAAGGGGAAATGCGTGAACATTTAATTTTAGGCTGTGCTAAATGTATAACTAAGAGAAAATAATCTGTAATATCGTAAACTGGCAAGCTTGGCTAATGTTAAAGGCACATATGGTGAGGAAACAAGTTCTGAGAGGAAACTTTATTCCAGCAAAAAAAAATTTATTCGTCAGGGAAAAGCCACCATGTGAGAGAAAGAGGACAACAAACATTTATGAAAATTTTTATATCAATGCTGAGGAAGGCAAAAAAAACACGTTTTAACAAGACGCCCTCATCGCAAAGCAAAACAATAATCTTCGTTACAATTCTCCTGCTGGTCCAAAGCAGCTGTCAATTTAACAGAAAGGTCCTTCTCCCAAGAATTTTTGGAGGGAGAGTCTGTGCCTTAACTTTTTCAACGCTTGCCTGCGTAATTGGGCCTGAGGTAAAAAAAAATAAAAAAATAACTACTTTCTGCGATGCTGTTTTCGCCTGCCTGGTGAATTACGCTAACAATTCCACCACTTTCCCTCACGCCGTCGCCGTTCGAATTAATCTTCTTCCAATCCGAAAGTACCACCCCGTAAACCCCAACTTCTCCTTCCTCGACCCCGGACAGACCCACCTCAGAAGCCGCACCGGCGAAGCACTTCGAAGCGGTGAACCAAAACCACCTCGCCAGCCCGCCTTCGAAACGCGCACGAGGAACTTCCTAGAAGCAGCCGCCGTGGGGCCACGCCCCCTTTTCTTATTATTATTTTTAAATGAAGGGGTGTCTAGGACTACATGTACCAAGATGCAACGCAACATCTAGGCCTTTCCCGAGTTAAAGCACGGCATGCTGGGAATCAGAGCCTGGAAGAGAGGGCTTTGCATAAGCGGCTTTCGTGGGAGGTTTGCATTAAGAAGTGCGTGACGCAAAGCGGTGATACAAACTTTGGCTTTTCTTTAGATTTCTTTTTAAATGACATACACGTGCTCTTTTCGTTCCTTATATGAATAGCACCCTATGTTTTCATGTTGTCATGGTTCGCATCTCCCGCGAAGTAAAACCAAACCAACCAAGTTATGGCTTACTGTACTTAAAGTAAATGTAAAGTCAAAATGTGCTTTTTTAAAAGCCAGTCCCACTGAACTTCACTCGCTATAGAATAAGCAGTTTTAAAGTTTATGGGATTGAGAGTTTTTTCCCCAAATGTCATCACTCTGCTTAACAACTGATTCCCACAACACTGTCAATAATTTACTAAAACTGTATTACTATTATTCTTTTCTTCTTTCCTAGTATCTATCTCTCCCCACTTCTGACTATAACCATGTTGCTTGTTTCTTTCAATTTATATTTTTATTTGTTTCCTAGTACGATTTGATAGCTTATTTGTAACCTTGACTATCACTAAGTCCTGTAACTTTATTCTTGATGAATGTATTTTATTCTCCTTATGTACACTGAGAGCATATGTACCAAAGACAAATTCCTTGTGTGTCCAATCACACTTGGTCAATAAAGAATTCTATTCCATTCCATTCCATTCTATTGTATAGGGGATGGGAAATGTGAATGGGTCTAGTCCTATGAAAGGGATCTAGGAGTCCTATTGGACAACCACTTAAATATGAGCCAGCGGTGTGCTGCAGTTGCCAGAAAAAGCCAATGAAGTCCTATGTGCGCCAACAGCGGCACAGTATTAAGGTCATATGAAGTATTAGTACACTTTCTATTGCTTTAGTAAGATCATACTTTTTAATACTGCATCCAGTTCTTGATCACCATGACTAAAAAAAAAGATGTTGAAAAAGAGGGCAGAGAAGAACAACAAAGATGATTAGGGTGCCGGAGGCTAAAATAT